GGTCATAGGTTCAACCTGTGTGTGTGCACGCGCGAGCACACACACACACACACACACACACACACACAAGCAGGACCAAGATGGAGGCAGCAGGCTTCTAGATGTGGTGAACGGACAGGGCTTTACACGGCGGTGATTGTTTTTACCTGTCAGAGTGTGTTCCGCTCCTGTCATCCCCCAGAGAAAGGCTGGGGATCCTCTCAGTGGGCGTATTTGTTAAAAGAAGGAGGAGGAGGAGGAGGAAGAAGAAATGCTTCTCAAACAGGCTACTTCATGAGGAGTAAGCTTTCCTACCCGCTCCAAAGAAGAAAGCACGGGCAAATTTTAGCTCCATTTCCCAGGAAGCTAACCCCCCTACTTCGGAGCCTGCTGGACCTCAGGAGACTGACCCAGCACCCCCAAAGCCCTGCTTGTGTGTGCCTAGCGTGCTGGCCTGCCGCCTGCCCGGGCTCTTCCGGTCGTGGCCACATACTCTGACCTTGGGTTTAGCTGAAGGTCACCCCGTTGGCATTTCCTGGCTTCCTTATCTAAGAGTAAGAACCCCAATCCCATCCTCCCCAGCCAAGCTGCTCTCCTCTCCCACACTTTTCTCTGGTGTATTTCCCATCTTCCCCCAGGGATAGGAAGTTCCCTGAGGGGTCGGTCCCTGATGAGCCAGCAGTTAGTGTCCAATTAAATTCGATTGGGATCCATCTGAAAGCTCAACTAAAAGTGATTGATGCACCAGAAGGGTGTTAACCGGGCTCACAGGACCACACTTCCGGAACCCTGCCTCCCTTTTCCCAGTCAGCATCCGTTTCCTAGGGGATGACAATCAGTGATCTAAACCATGCCGGCTCCATCCCACACTCTTCATTTCGGGGTGTTCTTGCTTCGGACACTTCTTTTTCTTTTTTTCAAGATAGGGTTTCTCTGTATTGTTTTGGAGGCTGTCCTGGAACTCACTCTGTAGACCAGGCTGGCCTCGAACTCACAGAGACCCACCTGCCTCTGCCTCCCGAGTGCTGGGATTAAAGGTGAGCGCCACCAACGCCCAGCACTTTGGATATTTCTAAACCAATAATGCCGAGACCCTTTAATGCAGTTCCTTGTGTCTCGGTGACCCCCAACCATAAGATTATTTTTGCTGTTACTTTGTCAACTGTAATGTTGCTACCAGTTATGAGTGGTTATGTAAATTTATTTGGAATTGGATTTTTGCCAAAGGGATTATGACCCACAGGCTGAGATCCAGTTAAATCCTTAGCGCTCGGGGAATCCACACATTGGCGTGTGGCACAAGAATCCTGAGGAGCGCCTCTGCGTGGAAAGACATTAGAAACACGTCCTTGTCCCACATGGGGTCGGCTGTTCTAGGACAGAAGCACAACTGGGACCAACTGCCAGGTTCCTAGGCATGAGGCCCACCCTGCAGCTGCGTGGCCCACATAGCTTTCTGCTGAAGAAAGTCTTGGCTTAGAGTGAACCCAAGGCTTTGTAGTACCGGCGACCGATGTAGGATTGCGCCTTCTAGTGGACAGGAAGAGGAGTTAAAAATAAGAACTTCTTATTGCCCGTGTGTCACGGGTACTTTCCCTCATCCCCTCACCAAGTAGATTAAACCAGGGGCCAGCGAGCCCCAGGGACCTGTCTGCCTCTGTCACATGCCACCATGCCCAGCCTTTTCACTCGGGTTCTGGGGATCAGAGGTCCTTGGGGCATGAAGCACAGTTCCAACTCAGCTATCTCCCAGCACAAAGGCCTTGGCCACAGATTTCAGGGGCGGGCCCTAACCAGTCCTTATGGAATCCAGAGAGATGGTCACAGGGGCTCAGGACTGTCCAGGGCATGCCGAGACCTCATCTTAAGCATGCTTGTGTTGTCTGGGGTCAACTAGTCAGCGGCGAGGCTGGGGGGGATCCAAGGAAGAGACAGAAGGGAACCAGGGTTGGCTGGGAACTCTTCCAGCCACTGTGAAACATTCCGGCTCCTTCTGTGGAATCTGTATTCCCCTGAGCCCCAATGGCGGCCAGCAAGCTAGTCACGGGAGCCTACTGCCAGGCAGTCAATAATGACATCAGCGGAGGAAGAGGCCACTTCAGGGCAACTTTTTAGTCAGAATAGGACCAGATGTTAGGTGCTTCCTGGAAGGTCTGGCACCCCAGCCGCAGGACACCCTGCCTCGTGATCCTCTCTCACTAGTCCCAGACTCTGCTAAGAAATCCCCGAGCACACTCAGCATGATGGTGGCCTTGTACCCACAGCATGAAGGCAGGAGGAGGCATGGTCACTAATTCAAGGCCAGCTTGGACTACACGGAGAGTTCCTGTCTTTAAAAACCCACCAGGACCCCAGCAGTGGGGATTCTGTGGCAGGATGGTGGGGAGATCAGCCTGAACTATGTAAGTACCAAGTCACTCAGAATTGGGTGTGAGATCCTGTCTCGAAAGCCCCGCCCAAGTGAACCCCAGGACCCCCAGCGCCCCTTCCTTGGCTGACTGGAAGGACCAGGGGCCCTCAGTAGCTTTCTGTAAGCTGTCAATCAGACACATGCTCAGTGGGGGCCCAGGAGCTGATGTCGCAGAAACTGTCAAACCAGCACTGCACAGGACTGAGGACCTGTGAACAAGGGGCCCCAGTTGCCCAGACAAGTTCTAGGGGCAGACTGCAGCCACCATGAAGACACCACATTCTGTGGGCAGGAGAAAAAAAAACCCACACCACGATGAGTCAGGGACGTGCCACCAAAACAGTCTACTCCAGAAAGATCAGTGCAAACTGTTTTTTCCAGTGCGCATTGCCCCCCTAACACGTTAATTCGGGCAGCAAACAAGTCTTTTTCTAGAGATAGCTCTCGGACCACGGCGCTGCTTTCGTGGGGCCCAAATGTGGATGCTGAGGCGATGCCAGAAGCTCCCTGCCTTGGTAGCACCGGGCTCCTTCCATGGCACAGTGAAAGGTTCAGGCATTACGCTGGCCGGCCCTGTTACCTGGCAGGATGCACTCAGGCAACATTCTGGCCAGCCCTGAGTTCTGGGAGCACCACGCATGTGCAAAGGACCCCTTTAAAGGACTGACCCCTGCCTGCTTACGCTCTCTCTAACGCTCTTGTCTCTCTCATATCTTATCTTCTCTCAGCTCTGCACGGGTTGGTTACCTCTCACCCCCTTCCACCAATAAACTCCACTGTGGGATCGTTGAGTCACGGTTTGTGTCTCGTTACTGGATAAACCTAGACATTTTAACAGCACACGGACCCACTTAACCCCGTGGAGCACGTCACCATCGCAATCCCCGTAACAAGGCACTCCAGGTGCGAACAGGGAGGGACACGCCCAAGTCCACAGGGCTGGCTGGTGCTAGAGCTGGGACATGAAGCCCCAGTGAAAGCCCAGGTGTTTCTGCCTCCACGCTGAGAGCCCTTCCTAGGTCACCTAAGGGGCTGCTGGACACCAGAAACCTCCCTGGTGCTGCCACCGTAAACTTTAAGTCCTTCAGAGGATTGGTCGGTTGCAAACCACCGAAGATCTTACATCGCAGTACTGAAATGACAGCCCCGCAGTAGGTCCTCAGGAGCTGGCGGATAGTGGGATGGACCAAGAGGCCCATGCGTCACGCCCGGTGACATAACATAAGCCAAGGGGACAGGCTCCTGGCCCAGCAAGCCAGTGCTCCGCACTATGCAAACACCCCAAGCCCAGTGTGGGAGACAAGTCGCTCGGCTTTGCTCTTGCAAATAACCAAACGCCCCTTCGCCAGCAGTGTACCTAATGTGACAAGGTCCCCTAGACGTGCAACTGGGCAGAGGTGGGGGGGAAGGGGGGGACAGAGGTAGTTCTGATCCTGCTAAGGGCACTGGGCTAGAGGAACAAGGGTACAGGACAGAGGTAGTAAAAATGGATGACCCTAGTCACGACCTTAAGGCTCTCGGGAGAGGGAATGGTCTCCCCACAGGAAACGCAGTGCCCATTCCATACACCTGCAAGGCCGGCTAGAAAGGAGGCCACGTGGGTTTCAGAGGTACACCAGCTGAGACCGGAGATGTGTCATCAGCTGAGCCCACTGGCTACTCTTGCGGGGGACTCAGTTTGATTCCCAGCACCCACAGGGCACCTCACGACCATCCGTAACTCCAGTGTTAGGGGATTCAATGCCCTCCAAAGACAGACCTACATTCAGGCAAACACACATACTCACATACACACCCACGCCACACCCACCCACAGTACACCAGCCAGTTTCAGTAACCCTAGGGCACACAGGTGAGCAGACTCCAGAACACTCAGTCTGTCTGGTAACTCCTACAGAGAGGGCAAGGAGCACTCACAAGGCGTGGAACCTGAGACCTTGGACATCTCCCAAGACTATATATATTCTAAATTTAGAGACAAGGTTGCTTCACATGTCACATCTTTTTTTTTTTTGGTTTTTACGAGACAAGGTTTCTCTGTATTGTTTTGGAGGCTGTCAGTCCAGCCTGGCCTCTAACTCACAGAGATCCGCCTGCCTCTGCCTCCCGAGTGCTGGGATTAAAGGCGTGCACCACCAACGCCCGGCCACAAGTCACATCTTTAAAAAAAGATTTTATTTATTTTATGTATGAGAGCTCTATCTTCATGTATGCCTTTATACCAGAAGAGGGCATCAAATCCTACTGTAGATGGTTGTGAGCCACCATGTGGTTGCTGGGAATTGAATTCAGGATCTCTGGAAGAGCAGTCAGTGGGTTTTTTTGTTGTTGTTGTTGTTGTTTTTTTTGGTTTTTTCGACACAGGGTTTCTGGAGCTCGCTCTGTAAACCAGGCTGGCCTCGAACTCACAGAGATCCGCCTGCCTCTGCCTCCCGAGTGCTGGGATTAAAGTCGTGAGCCCGGTTCAGCCAGTGCTCGTAAGCTGAGCCGTCTCTCCGGCCTCCCAAGCCATCCCTTACAATTTAATGTCCTTGAGTACACTGTGCCCCAGCACCTGGGAGGCAGAGGCAGGTGGAGCTCTGATCCTGTCAGACAAGCAAGCAAAGCAGAGTGTGGTCACACGCCATTTATTTACAAAGCCATCAGAGAGCAGTCTTAAGCTGGAGAACACCCCCGAGATCCCCCAGAGTCAAACCCGACAGGCGCAGGGCCTGGTTCTCATGCAGGGCACAGGCGCCAGTCTTCCCGCCGGTGACCTGAAAGAGAAAGCATACACGTCAGTCTTCGCCCACTTCAAGTCTCAACGCTTAGTTAAAGCCTCCAGCCCACAGGACACTCCCCCATCCGGCGGGTGCACCATCCCTGCTTCTACTTAAACGTCTTATGTGCACACATGCTGCTGGCCCTGTGGCCCTTCCTTGGGAACCTGCTGGTCAACAGCCACAAGCCAGGTCTCTGGTGACAAAGGCCCCGCAGCTCAGCACTGGTTCAAACTCACCGTATCTGACCTTCCTCCTCCCCTCCCACCAAGTCCTCAGCCCTGGCGTCTGCCTGACCCACCTGTGCCTCCCTCCCAGGCCCACGCCCCTGGAGAGTGCCCACGAGAGCAGTCTCCTGCTGTCCTACACTGTCTGTTGACGTCTACTTGGACAGATGCCGAGTCCCTTAACAACCAGGACCTGGGGCTGGAGAGATGGCTCAGAGGTTAAGAGCACTGACTGCTCTTCCAAGAAGTCCTGAGTTCAATTCCCAGCAACCACATGGTGGCTCACAACCATCTGTAATGAGGTCTGGTGCATTCTTCTGATGTGTAGATGTACATGGAGGCAAGATGTTGTATTCGTAATAAAAAAAAAAAAACCAGGACCTGAGCCACACTAAGCACACACGCTAGTGGCATACCTTAACTACTGCAGATTTGGATGTGTGCCAGACCCAGGACCGCCAACATGGTGACCACTGGCCCCACAGGGCTACACTAAAATACAAATTCCAGTCCCTCAACCACACCGACAGCACATGAAGCCCCTGGTTGCTCAGGGGAGTCCCGGTGAACTATTTCTACCATTCAGAGTCTGTCTGGTTATACTGCTGTCTTTTTGTTTTTTAAAGATTTATTTATCTATCACACATACAGTGTTCTGTCTACACGCCAGAAGAGGGCACCAGACTGAATTGTAGATGGTTGCGAGCCACCATGTGGGTGCTGGGAATTGAACTCAGAACCCCTGGAAGAGCAGTCAGTGCCCTTAACCTGTGAGCCATCTCTCCAGCCCCTATACTGCTGTCTTATACAGTGTGGCACGGATTCACAAACGTACGTGTGTCTTCTTGTTTCAACTCCACGAGGGTCCAGGCATGTACCCAGTAAGGAGAGCGTTTGCCCAGCATGCACACTGCCTTGGCTTTGGTCCCCGGCGCCACATAAAGCAGGTGTGGTAGAGCCTGTAAGCCAGCAATAAGGACGAGGAGGCCACCCTCAGCTACACGACGAGTTCAAGGGCACCCTGGGCTAAACGAGCCCTATCTTAGAGGGTGGAGGTGCTATCGCGGGCGAGAGATGGCTCAGCAGTTAAGAGCCCTTGCTCTTACTGAGGACCTGGGTTCGGTTCCACACTGGGGCTCACAACCATCTCCTAATTCCAGTTCCAGGGGACCTGGTACCCTCTTGTGACCTCTGAGGGCACCAGGGAAACATTCATACACATAAAAATTAAAAAAAATCAATCTAGGCCGGGCGTTGGTGGCGCACGTCTTTAATCCCAGCACTCGGGAGGCAGAGGCAGGCGGATCTCTGTGAGTTCGAGGCCAGCCTGGTCTACAGAGCGAGTGCCAGGACAGCCTCCAAAGCCACAGAGAAACCCTGTCTCGAAAAACAAAACAAAAAAAAATCTACAACGAGGGGCTGGAGGGAGGAACCATATTTGCTTTTGGAAGAAAGCAAACGGCGTCAAAGCCACGCGGGGTTCTGAGGCGCACTCGCAGGGGTCCTGTTTGCAGTATCATACATGATCACCAAACTGCTGCTAGGGTGTCCACACCTGTTACTGCAAGTTCCAGTCCCGGGGAACGCGTTCCCCTGGGCATTACTGTAGGTCAAGGTCGGGCTGTCTGGTACAGGGCTGCACCCACCGCGGGCGGGTCCAGCCACACAGGAGCCTTTCCCCAGACCGTGCCCCGCAGGACCCTGCAGCCGGGCGGGACGGACGTACCTGGCTCACCGGGAACTCTCCTGGGAGCACAAAGCAGCTACCGCGCGACTCCGTCCGGTCGCCGGGGCCTCAGCGGGTGGCCTCGTGTGTGCACGGCCGGCACTGGGGACCACCGGGCCCAGCGCATCCCTGCAGCCCGCCCCCCACCCCCGGGAGAGCTTTCCGGAGCCCCGGCCGAGGGGTTCCACGCCGCCGCCGCCGCCGGGCCGGGCCAGAACGGGCGGGCGGCTCGCGCTCCACGGCCAAGGCTCCGCTCGCTACGAAGCACGCGCGCTCGCCTCCCCCGGCGGAAGCAGCTCCGCTAATGCACTTCCGACCGGAAGCGAAGACTTACCATCGAGACTGCCGCTAGACCGGCGCTCTAGCCTTCGGGTCATCCCGCGCGCGGCCTTCTTAAAGGGGCCGCGGTCTCTGCGGCTGGAGCGGTCCCGGAGCTGTTTTGGGCCTCGTCTGGCTGGAGGGCGCACGCCTTTAATCCCAGCACTCGGGAGGCAGAGGCAGGTGGGTCTCTGTGAGTTCGAGGCCAGCCTGGTCTACAGAGTGAGTTCCAGGACAGCCTCCAAAACAATACAGAGAAACCCTGTCTCGAAAAACCAAAAAAAAAAAAAAAAAAAGAAAGAAAGAAAAAAAAGAGTCTACCCATCAGACAGTCTTGAAGACACTTGGGAAACTATTGTAAGAGAGACTCAGGGAGGTTTCCGGGACCCACGCCCACCCCACTTCTCTGCTCCCACCAATGTTTTAGTTTCATCCTTTCCACACTGTTTAACTTTGGTTGTCTGGTTTTGTCACTGGAACAACTTTGCTTGGTTTTACTCTAGTTTACCAGCTTACTTGATAATTAAACATGTAATTAGGACAAATGCAACAGCACAGACAGGTTCGGGAACTGTGGCATTGGGCTCTTTGTGTGTGTGGGGGGTTGGAAGTCTGATCATCAGGGAGAGGGGCCTCCCCTGTCCCTCAGGCTAGAAACACCCCAGTCAGTGAGCTCCCCTGGGGGACTGTCTTCCCACCCTGCGTTGCCCGGGCTGGCTGAGAACTGCTGGGCTGGAGAGGTTCTCCTGCCTGAACCTCCACGGCCATGGGCGGGCGGCGTGTGAATCTGCTGAACTGTTTCTGCCTCCTGGAGCCGGAGAGGGCCATTCCCAAAGTTAGCAGAGCCAGAAACAGAGAAAGCCACTGAGCAAGAGGTGCGTTCCCAAAGTTAGCAGAGCCAGAAACAGAGAAAGCCACTGAGCAAGAGGTGCGTTCCCAAAGTTAGCAGAGCCAGAAACAGAGAAAGCCACTGAGCAAGAGGTGCGTTCCACGGCCCCGTGTGCCCCCTGGTGGTGTCTCCGAGTAGTGCAGCCTGCGGTGCCAAACCTCCAGACGCCTGCCCTGGCCTATGACCGCTTCCCTGTGGTCCGGCTAGTTTCCCGAAGGGAAGGCCAAGAGTCCCACGTCTGTTCAGTCCACGAGGAGGCTGAATGTCTCAGCTGGTCACCAGTACACACAGGAATCACGAAGAAGCAGGTTCTAACGCCGGCAAAGGAGAGCCTCTGTGACGCGGCAGATGGACTTGCCAGCGAGAGTGAGGGCATGCAGGCAAAAGCCGCCTTCGTCCATCCCTCCGTCCGTGTCATTTAAGTGCCACCAGAAGGTGTGGCCCAGGTTTAGGGTGGGTCTTCTCACTTGAAACGGTCTAATCCAACAAAAATCCCTCCCGGGCGCGGCTAGCGGCTTGGGTTTAGTTGATTTCAGATGCAATCAAGCTGGCGACAAGACAGGGATGTCCTGTCCAGGTGCGCCCATAAGCAGGGGTGGGGCTGTAGAGTTTACATAGGAGTTTGAGGGGTTTGGGTTGGTGGTGTGGCTCGGGGGACAAGGTTGTGGGTTCCTTCCTAAACACTGCAGAAACGAGCTCCTATTGCCAGCAGGGGAGGGGCTATTGCAGGGGTCTGCGTCTCTTCTGCAGATGCAGGGTGCCCAGCAGCTGGCCTGCGCTGTCCACGGGAGAGCAGGTGGTCTTCTGTGCGTTTCTTCAGAACGTTGCCGCTGTGTGATGAGGGCATCTGCACCTGTACCGAGGGCAGGACCCTGCAGGGGGCAGGACTCCGGGCCTCAAAGGCTCCGTCACTGATCTAGAATATTCACTGCTTGACTGTGTAGGGGCTTTGCACCACTGTGACTGGGGGTCCTCTCGTATAGTATATTAAAGCTTTTGTTGTACTGGGATAGGACCCAGAGCCTTTTGCATTTGAAGCAAGCACTCCTGGCCCTTCTTCTCATCTTCAAAAAAAAAAAAATGTAATGGCTCAGCATGAGGGATTTGGCTGGACAGAGATGTGGTCACATTATGCTCTCTTTAAATATTTTTAGATATTTATGTTTATTTTTGAGAGAGGGTCTCATTATGTAGCTCTGGGTGTCCTGGAACCATGTAGAGCAGGCTGGCCTCAAACCCAAGGAGATCTCACCTGTCTCTGCCTCCCAAGTGTTGGGATTAAAGGTGAGCGCCATTATGCCCAACTTAGATGTATTTATTTGTATGTATGTGTGTGCATGTGCACCACTAGTGTGCAGTACCCATGAAGGCCAGAAGAGGGTGTCAGGTCTCCTGGCACGGGCATGATACAGGTGGAAGAGCAGCAGGCGTCAGTGTCGCTCCGGCCCCCATATTATGTCCTTTATAGAGAAAGCCCTCACCGTGACCATCCTAACAGGTCTCACAAGCCAAGCTCCCTCTCAGGGAGGATCTCAGCCACCTGTCTGAATGTTGGTACAAGTGCCCAGTGTAGTGAGATACCCACCCTGCCCACACCTGTAGCACCGACCATGCCTGTTTGGGTGTGATCACAGGTGGGGATATGACGGGGGACAGGACTAGATCTGGGGTCCCAGACCCCACCGCCCTCTCTTCCATGTGCCCCAGAATGGCTGCCCAGGCCCACCTCTTACTGCTGCCTCGAGTGTGTGTGTGTGTGTGTGTGTGTGTGTGTGTGTGTGTGTGTGTGTGTGTAGCTTTGATGTTTCTACAGCCGTCCTAATGGGATAGGCCTGTTACATAAATACAGGAAACTCAATTAAGTTTGCATTTCAGATAGGCAATCATGGGTGGGGAGGCATTTGTGTGTATATTTACATTAGTGCATTGTTATTCTGAAGTTCAAACAAGCTATTCACATTCACTTACCCATTTTGCTACCTGTAGTGAGGGGCTGCCCAATGGAGGATCTGATGGGCAGGTGGGGGACCACAGAGAGGGGTGTCTGATGGGCAGGTGGGAACCTCAGAGTGGGTGTTGGGCAGGTGGGAACCTCAGAGTGGAGCTTGGCTCACAGATTTGGAGGGTACGGCCCTGAGTTCCCTGAGGCAATGCTGTGGGGAACAGCACACAGGCCTGCCTCCAGGCTCCTGCTTGAGTTCCTGTCCCTTAACATTGAACTGTGACCTGGAAGTCTAAGCCAACCTCTCTGTCTCCTAAGCTGCTGGTGGTCATGATGTTTGTCACAGTAACAGTCATCCAAACGAAAGACCTATTCTTGTGCATAGCTTTCAAGAGCATCACAATATTTACCCTGAAATCACTGGGTTAGAAGAGTTTTGCCTTTCCTGTTGACATCTATGCTAATCTGGGAGGTGTCCCCTGGGTCACCTTTGTTCAGCACCTGAGGGACACTCTCCTTGAGCTCAGGCAGGGGTGAGCAGACAGACATGGGTGACAGGATAGGACTGGGGTTTTCTCACAGGGATAGTGGGGGGGAGTGGTGGGAGGGGGCCAGAAAGACAGACTCTCTGGACAACGAAATCATTTAAAGTCCCAATTCCTGTCACCCTTCAGGCTGCCACAGGGATGCTGGAGAATGCCGGGCGCTAAGACAGACTCAGCCGTCTGTGCTCCTGCGGCTCCAGGGGCGGGCGACAGTCCCTGTGTGAGGACACATCACCGGCTCATTGTTCTGACTCGGCCTCTGCCCCATCTGTAACGGCCGGAAGGAAAAGGGTGAGCGAGCCCACGCTCCTGGTGCAGATCATTCCCTCTGGCTCCTGGAAAGGCCTTCGAGGAAGAAGGTAGTGGAGCTGAAGAGAAGGGAGCCCCCCTCCAGACAGAGGTCACCAGAGGTCACCCCACCTGGGACCTGCGCCCTCTACCTGAGCACCCCGTGGGAGAGGATGCTACAAGGAGCCACATCGGTTTCCTTCCTGGGTAGCTGGTTGCTGTCAGCCTTCCTGGACACATGTCCAGGGTCCCGGCTCTGTCGTGGATCTCCACGAAGACGGTGGTGTCTGGATGTTATGGACAAGTCGTGTCCATAATGGAGAGTCTACGTGGCTCGAACACTGTCCCAGCAGGACGCCTTGCTGATGGGCCACTCTGAGCAGTCATTTGTGTTATTGTTGTAGTTATAACACAATTCTGGAGGTGAGTAATGTTGTAAAGCAAAGAGGTTCACTTAGCTCTCTGTTCCAGAGTTCCGGCATCGACCTGGCTCTGGTAAGGGCCTCGTGGGGTACAGAGGAGTGCAACAGGGAGAAATCACATCGGCAGACAGAAAGCCACAATCCCTCTTGTGAGTACACCCTGATGGTCTGACCCAGCGGGTGTGGCCGCTTATAACTTCCAATACACAAACCCATGGAGACACAACCAAACACGGCAGTCAGTGGGAGCCAGGACACATACTTGTTCATTGTCACATTTTGTAAGGCTACATGACGGTAGGGAAGAGGTGTGTGTGTACATATGTGTGTACACGTGTGTGCACATGTATATGTGCATGTGTGTGTACATTTGTGTGCATATGTATGTATGCATGTCTATGCTTGTGTGTGTGCATGTGCAGGGCAGAGGACAGCCTGGGATGTCATCCTTAGAAACACCACCCACGCTGGGCGGTGGTGGCGCACGCCTTTAATCCCAGCACTCGGGAGGCAGAGGCAGGCAGATCTCTGTGAGTTCGAGGCAGGGCTGGACCGACAGCCTCAAAAACAATACAGAGAAACCCTGTCTCATAAAACCAAAAAAAAAGAAAGAAACACCACCCACTTTCTTTGAGACAGGGTGTCTGCCTCACTGGCCAGGTACTGTGAACCCCAGGGGCCTGGTCATCTCTGCCTCCCCAGCGCTGGGAATGCAGGCATGCACCACTGTGCTTAACTTTTTACTTGGGTTTTGGGGACTGGATTCCAGGCCTTATGCTTGCACAACAAACACGTTACTGACTGAGCTATCTCTCCAGCCCCTGGGGAAAGTTGTACCCATTTGTTTTAAGATTTATTCTTTTTTTGTTTGTTTGTTTGTTTTTACGAGACAG